TTTTTTTTTTTTTTTTTTTTTTTTTGGCCTGGCCGGGCAAGTGACTCCCGGGCCACTCTGGTAGCCTAGGGGGAAACTCATTTAGTGGCATAAAAATGCTCAACTACTTACGCTGCATGACCTGCCAGACATGGCAGCAAAACCCTTCAGCCTGCACATCCCACAACTTAGAGAACCTCAAGTCTCCTCAGTCCCCTCAAAAAATATCAGACATAAACAGGAAGTTAAGCGAATAGGCTAGACTTGGAATAAGAGAGAAACACACCAAGTTGCAGGCAAGCCCCCCTTTCTGACTTAGCCTCTCAGCACTCAACAGGTAACCTTGCTACCCCATCACACCCACCAGACACCGAGAGTTCGCCCTCGTGCTAACACCAGGAGGAGTCTATTCTAATTTCTAACCACCCCTAACAAACATACCCCCCTAAGACTGTTGAACCCATCGTATTCTGAGATTAATCGCTACCCTTCTGGAACAAACATACCCCCCTAACCCCCCCTAAGACTGTTGAACCCATCGTATTCTGAGATCAATTGCTACCCTTCTGGAACAAACATACCCCCCTAAAGACTGTCGAACCCATTGTTATCTGAGATCGTCTCCGCAGGGAGCCTCTAACATCACATCCCTGTGTTTGTAACAGTATTCGAAGTCTGTATGTGTCTACTGACAGCTGCATGCCTCTACCGTTCAGCCACAAGGGCTAATGCCCTTCCGTTTTTCCCTTTTTTTTCCTTCTTCCATTTCCTTTTCTTTTTTTTTTGCTTTCTTTTCTTATCCTTCCCTTCTATTTATTCATTTTTTTATCTTTTTTTTTCCTTAGCAACATATGACCCTGTGTTTCTTTTTCTTTCTCTGTTTGTTTGTTTTTTTCCTCCGCTCACAAGGCCCCTCCCGCCCTACCTCATCTTTTTTTCTCGCCTTTTTTTTTTCGCTCAAAAGGCCCCTCCCCTCTCTACCTCCTCTTTTTCTTTCATTTTCGTTTTGCACATCAAGGACCATCCCCCTCCACATTCAGGGGAACTACCAGACAGAGGCCACAGGCACCGGCGATGGGCACACAACCTGCCCAGCCCTGGTCGAGCCTTCAATTGGACAAACCACGTCGTGCACCTCATCTTTTTTTCTCTTTTTTCTTTTGCTCACAAGCCCCCTCCCACTCTACCTTACCTTTCCTTTTTCTTTCTTTTTCGTTTTGCACATCGAGGACCATCCCCCTCCACATTCAGGGGAACTACCACACAGAGGCCACAGGCACCAGCGCCGCTAGGCAACCAAAATGCCCAGTCCTGGTTGAGCCTTGCATTGGCCACCAACCCTGCTGTCGTTCCCTACAGGGACGCTCACCGCCTACCTCCAATCTTACTCTCACTCCCTACAAGGACGCTCACCGCCCACCAAAGTCCCTTCACATAAGGGTGCTCCCCTAGGGCTGACCAAGCCCTTTAATCCCCTCATCCCTCCCCTGCCACCCCAGACTCCGATAAAATAATCCCCCTATCCGCTCCTGCTCCCCTCCTGCTGAGCAGCAACTCCCTCCATGGAGATCACCCAAGAGTAATGCTTTCCTATGACCCCCCGAGCTGGACCACCCAGGCAACCCTACCCTGCTACCCGTCATTCAAGGTAGAATACAACCCTACTCTGCACTCCCTCCCTATAAAGATACCAACCACCATCCTATAATGCTCCCTCACTGGAGCCCCTGCCCCAAAGGATGCACCATAGGTGCCTCACACGGTTGTGCTCACCCACTCGAGCCCCTGCTCCCGCTGGCAATCCCCGAGCGTCCTGTGCGTATGACCATGCCTGTGTGATATGCACTGCCCTACTCTGGGTGGGGTGCCATTCACTAGCACGGGGGTATGCTTCCACCCATGAACCAAGGTGGAACACGCCCCTACTCAGCACTCCTCCCCACAAGGACACTCACCACCATCCATGATGATGCCTTCACAGGCCGACACTCCCCCACTCCTCCCGCACTTGAGCTCTCACCGCAAACAACGCCCTACTGCCCTCGTAGGTGCCCCACAGGGTGCTGCTCCCCCTGGCAATCCCCCAACACCCCCTAAAGTACCTGTATGGGCACTGCCCTAGTCTGGGGGCCAAGCCGTTCCACAGCCACGAGTAAGACAGAAAAAGGTAGAGGTACATGCACACAGAAGACAACAAACACACAAACACAACCAAAACAAAAGAATCGATTTACTCCAAGGCATCAAACTTTTACAAATACATCCGATCGGAAAATCAAAGAATAGAGCCTGCAGAGCACGGGGGCGGGGGCGGGGGGGGGGGGGGGGGGGGGGGGGGGGGGGGGGGGGGGGGGGGGGGGGGGGGGGGGGGGGGGGGGGGGCGGGAAAACTAGAGAAGGAAGAGGAGGGAGAAAGGGAGAGGGGGAGAGAGGAAGAGAAAGCGAGGAAGGGATCTGTAAATGGAAAAGGAGGAAGTGGTACAAGCTCGACAAAACAATGAATGCTTGTCTAACTGATGAGGCGAGCAACTGCAGGCAAACAATCGGGGTGCCAGTGTAATTAGTCCGTCGTTTCTCTGTCATTCCAGCAGAGCAACGATTCACCGTCTGAAGTGAAAGTTGACAATGGGGGGTTGAAGATAGGACTGCTGGATGGATATGGCGAAGGGTAGGTACGGATGGAAAACGTAGGAGGCAACCCGCTTAGCTCTGATGTCATAAGCGGAGGACCCGTGTTCGATTCCGGGAAAGATCTTAAATTTGGGCAAGGAATTCGGCCGCCGCCGCGATATGAACTTGATGGGGTAGTCCATGCACGGCTTGTGTCTGTCCGTCGCCGAGATCAGCTTCTCGTCGAAACTGAACAGTCCCTGGTCGAAGTAGGCGCAGGGGCTTTCACACTGGCAATTGAACGGAAGGGACGCTAGCGCCCTCCTCACGACTTGCATGTAGGACCCCCCTCTACCTGTCGCCGACGCTGCTCCTCCCAGTCGGCAGGCCGTCTTCTGCTTCTTATGCTGCTCTCTCACGTACTGGCTGTTCTCGTACGAGCTTATAAATCTCATCACCGTCTTCTCCTTCGACGGCACCTTGAAATGGTCATTGAATCTCTCATAAAGCCGCAGCAACTCCTCCGACGAGTTCTGATAAAACGCCACGATCTCGGTCCGCTCAACATCATAGACGGCTAGGAATGCGTTCTGATGAGAACCGTCCGTGTTCCGCAGCACGACCCCGTCGGCGTTGCGCCCAACCACTCCATCCGCACTCCCAAACTTGATGAGCAGATGGCACCTGTCGAGAAACTGCACCTTCCACATCACCAGGTCGATGAACTGCTGGAAGTTGAAATGGAATCGTTTGATACGCTGCGCTCGGGACACCACCTGGCTTCCATTATCATCATATAGGCTGCGGAACATGAATGCCAGCAGTCGTTGCTTGATACCTCCAAGCATTGGACGGGCGCTAGCACCTAAACCAGGTCCCCCCCTTTCACCATGCCTGGCCCAGCGAGGCGGCGGCGTCACCACGACGTGCTCACCCCCAGCGGCGGCGCCGGCAGCGGCAAAATTCGGTCCTTCGTTGCCGCCCATTACCGGTCCGAAGACTGCTCCCGACCTGCCTGCCGCCCCGGTCCCGCTACCCGTGGCAATGCCGCCGCCGCCGCCGGCGCCTCCACCGGCAACACCACTCCTATCTGTAGGAGGCACGGTATCCGGACGAGTGTCGAGCGCGGCAGTCGACACGAAGCCTCCACGCTGCTGAGCACCTGAAACAGACGGAGCAGCTATCCCTATCCCGACCCCCGCGGTAGCGTCTCGTCTGCTAGTGGTGCCTCCCGTTCCTACTCCTACGCCTCCTACTCCTCTGCCTACTGCATCTTCAGCATCGCGCTGGGCCTCCGCGTTGGCTGCATAAGAATAATACAACAACGAAGGCGAATGAGACGCCGGCCTCATCAACGGGCGCGCCTCGTCCCTTTCAATTCGCTCTTGCTGTCGTCCTCCGACACGTGGCGCTACCTCAGGACTAGTCAGGGCGCTGAAGGCTCCTCCGCCGGCTCGTATGGATACTCCTCCCGAAGGAAGACCGGCGCTGGGAGGCCCACCGCCAGTCGCAGCACCTTCGGTTGACGTCGATCTCCACGCGGAGCCGCCGATGGCCCCGGCCGCAGTTCCCTTCCCACCTCCTCCTCCTCCTTCTCCTCCTTCTCCTCCTTCTGCTCCTCCTCCTCCTCCCCCTCCTCCTCCTCCTCCTACTATTCCCCTGTCCAGTGAGATGTCCTCTGTTTCCGTTTTACTCGGTGAGGTCGGAGGATCAAGGCCAAGTTGCGCCGCCGTGATTAACCTGGCCGGTACTCTGCTGCTCACGATATACTCCACCTTTCCCCCGCTGCCAGTTCCGCTCGACACTGCCGTCGCCCCGCCTTCGCCCGTTCCATCAGTGTTGCTACCCCCCCGGCTCCGATCTGCACCTCCTCTAACGCGTGAAGACTCCCCACTCCCCCCTGCCCCCCTCCCTCCACTCGTTCTCGACGCCGGCCCCTCTCTTCCCTCTCCTCCATACTCCCTATCCCCACTCCCTACTGTACTTCTCAACTCCACAGTATCACTATTACTGCTCCAAGACAGCGCGCCCACACCGCGACTGGCCCCAATCACTTCTCGGTCCCTGGCAGCCCCAGCCAACCCGTCTCCTCGCCCAACTCCTCCTTCCAGGCGTCCCAGACGATCCCCCAGGCCACTGGGGCCCGCTACGTGGCGAGACGAGTGTCCTAGCTGTCTCACAACATCCAGACCCCCTTCTCTGGTGGTCCCATCTCCCAACCGCACATCCGCTGCGCTGTCCACATACTGTCCGCCCCCCGTGCTGGCTGCTGCTGCTACGCTCCCGCCACGCACTCCTCCCCGCTCCTCCGGCCGCCCAGCCACCAACCCACCCCCAGTCCCTCCCCAAACACCGCCTGCCCCTCCGGCGTCCATCCCCTCACCTCCGCCTCCCGCAGTCGCGTTCCCGAAAGACCACTGCCCTCCTCGAAAAACCCTGTCCACGTGAGTATCTCCTCTGTCACCTTCTTCTCCCACCCGCCATCTGGATGCGCATCTGCTCCCAAAATCCCCTCCTCCCCCCACGCACCCAACCCTTCTACACGCGCCATTGCCACCATCGCCGCCTTCCTCCATGGCTTTGCCGCACATCTCGTGCCCCTCATCCTCAATCTCCATCCCTTCTTCTTCTTCATACTCGTCCGATTTCCTCGGCAGTCCGCTTTTACCCAACGATTGGCACCCTCTTCTGAACCGCGCCTCATCCTCTGCATGGGACTTCAGCACCAGCTCGTCGTCCTCTCGGCAGTAGTTCCCTATGGTCCTGACGTTGACAAACAGCCCCGTCTCCCTGATCTGCAAAATGTGAATGCTTTGGAATCGTACGGACAAGATTGCCAGCAGGTCTTCGTATAGAAAGACCCCCGCATTGTGCGCGAGGTGAATGTAGTCATCATCGAACCGTCGCCGGTCCATGACTTCCCCGTTGCAGATCTTGACAAGATGAAAGGTGATGCTCTCCATGGCAGGAACCCCCGCCACCGCTCCATGAGCATAGGGAGGGTTGTTGTCGGGAGGGGAGGAGGTGGCAAGCACTCCATACGTATCGCTATCTGTGAACAGACAGAAATCTTTGCACAGAATCTCCGTGCCGGAACCTAGAGGGACGGTGTAGAGATGGTGAAAGAAGTTGTCAAAGGCTCTCGATCTGGTGCCCGCCGGCGGCGACGACAGCGAGGCACCTTCCTCCTCCCATCCCGCGCCTACACCAACAGCTCCACCTCTACGTGCAGCCCCGCTCCCTCCCCCCCCCACCACCTCCGGAGCCTCCTCCCCTTTCCACGAATGATTGACACCTCTGTATCGGTACACTATGAGATCCTGCAGCTGACGGCTGAAGCAAATCAAGAACTGGCCATCGTTAGTGAACCGTCGGATAGAATGGTCCGAGCATTCTACATCATAGATGGTGTGATTAGGCACGACGTTCTCATAGAGCAGGCGGCAGCGGTTGTAAGCCGCGCCCGGCTTGGCGCGCTCCACCTCCCGGAGGCGTAGGCGATGGAATAGGTTCTCGTTCTGTCGATGACGTTCGCGCGCACTCATCAATCAACCTCACGTAGGCCCTGCGAGCTTGTTTACGCCCACCGACTCCTGCACCTCCTCTTCTTGCCATAATACTACAGTGGTCTTTCCACCTCCCCGCCTCCCTTTTGTCGCTTCGCAATGCAGGCTATCGTCTCCTACAGGCTGACTATGACCTCATTTCCCTTCATGGGCAGTCCGACATCCCCCGACCCTCTCCTCTTCCTCTCCTCGTCCTCTCCTCTTCCTCTTCTTCTTCCTCTTCTTGTTCACAACCTCCTTGTCCTTGTCTATGTCGTATCCCATTAATTAAGAAATTTCACGTCCGCTCTAATCTGCTGATACTTGCATCACCAACATTCTTTCATCGGATTTCAGTAATCCGCTCAAGTCCACTTTCCTTCCTCGGGCCTCTGTACTGCAAGCCACTCGTTTTCGGAAATATATTCAATGATCTCCCTTTCTCCTTCCCTTTCTTTCTTCACACAAAGGAAGGACTGTTCGTTCCATAACACAGCTGTCGTGTCATGGATTGCCACTGACAGGGAAGACCGACACACTACTTCACATCGCCAGATCGGCAAGCAAAACGCCCTTCCATCTCTGAGCTTCTCGTTTTCTTCCGTTACGGAGCGTGGTAATCACAGTTGAAAATAGAAAAATGGAATAGATAGATTGGTGTCCAGTCCATCCAGTCACAACACGCCGACGACCGGCCAATAGTCACAACACGCCGACGACCGGCCACTACCCGTAGGCAGCACAACGACCGAGCCTCCTATTCTGTTCTGGACGGCGACGCCCGATAGCTGACCCGCGCACATCGACCGGCCAGCGGCCAGTCGCCGACTGAATAAAGCTCGATAACTCGTTGGCGGGAAGAGGACAAGAAGTAAAGTGAAATAAAGTGAATGTTTTTTCTAATTGGTAAAAAAATTAAAAACTAACAGGTGAAGGGAGTTGGAGCGACGCCTGGAGCAGAAATGTACCAAACCGTTACCATGATTTCCGGCACGTCATGTGGGCTCCAGCTCTTCCCACGTCGCCGGCACATGGGCGGGCAGGCCCCATGAGCGTGGAGGGCAGCCGAGCCGCCGAACTACAACGCGTGTGAGCTGTGAGTGGCAGCGAAATGGGCACGCTTCGGAACCGTTGGATGGCCATTGAAGCAAGCGGGGGGCCGGAGTTCCATATTTTCTGGTTCTTAGGGCATACTTACACGAGGACTTTTTAACTTATTTTGGGGGGACGGAATTGAGGCCAGATGCATACAGGTGTGGCTAAATGACGGTCCGATGCATTTTGGAAAGTGCTAGTGTGAGTATGCCCTTGCTACCCGTAGTATCCCTATCGCGGCATAGGAACTGACTGTTAGAAAATATAAAAAAGAGAAAAAGAACTATGGCCACGCGCAGAAGTTCCTTTTTGGTTTTTTTTCTTTTTTCTTTTCTGCACCTTTTTCTGTTTTTTTCTGAAATTGCACTTGTGGCCAGCAGCGCTTCTTCTTTTGAGATTCCGAATTCTTTTTTTCGAAAAACAGATTTCTGCTGCAAAAGAAGAGCACAACAAATGAGCATGAGAATAGGGGTTAAGGGTGGTCGTTTTATCCGAGGGGCCTGATCTTGACTTATATAACCTTAGAAATTGCTATGCGGAGGCCTGGGCGCCCGCTGGACTAAGGGTCAAGCCCCAGTGGTGCATGTCCATGCTTGGAAAGTATGAGCCCCTTAGCCTCAATGCCCATCAGGCTACTGCTTGTTTTCTTGGGATTTTTCCACCACCACCTTCGAGCCTCTTATTGCCAAGCCGAAAACTGCGCGTCAAGCTTTGTCAAAGTGGCAGCCTGGCTTTTTTTTTCTGGCTGGCCCCGCCAGCCATTTTGGTCCAGTGGTGTTTGGCCTCCGAAGAATGTGATATAGGTTATATTTACGGTGCGAGTTTGCATGTGAAAGGTAGTGGTGGTGTTGACTGCATCGGTCCCCACAAGTGCATGCATGCAGGAGGGGACCCTCCCCGCCGTATCACGAAAGGTTAGTAACATTACTTGTGAATACACCGCTCCAGTCGAGTGTGCGAGCTATACCTCTTAGGTTCCCCAAATATGAAGTAATAACCAACGTGTAACCGTTTTTACTTACCATGCCAGAGATGAGTCGGCTGAGGGCGTTCCTCGTTGGTTGTAGCATAGGTGTACGCGTAGTATAACATCTTCGACTAACCCGTAAATGCGTCGACCTCGAGGAGCTAATCTCCAAGATTCACTTGCGAATCAGGTGGACCCAATCTTATGGACTTTTACACTTGCAACATTCTGATTCTTTGTGTGTAACCATTTTTACTTACCATGCCAGAGATGAGCCAACTGAGGGTGTTCCTCGTTGGTTGTAGTATAGGTGTACCCGTAGTATAACATCTTAGACTAACCCGTAAATGCGTCGACCTCGAGGCGCTAATCTCCAAGATCCGCTTGCGAATCAGGTCGACCCAATCTTATGGACTTTCACACTTGCAACATTCTGACTCTTTGTACTAAGTGTCATCTCATTTGTCTCAAAGCTTAGTTAGTGTGAAGATAGTAAGTCGCGGGGACCCGTGTATATGGAAAGTGATCAGCAACCGATGTCATAACTTTCAAAATTCAAAGCTCTATGGTCTACTATTATGGCGAAGCATTATGTGATACCTATGATTGTGCGACGTAGGTTTCAGAATCTCGTAGGAAATAAAATATCGGTTAAGAAGTATATTGGAGGGGGTTCTCCCGTGATATAGGATGGGTGAACAAACAATCGCTTAACATTTATATCGATTTCAAGTTAGTTTTAGACAATTTGCAGTGGTTGACAGTGACCGGATGTCCTGACCCTGAAAGCGAATTTATGGGTTTGATAAGCATCGCAAAATTCTGTTCGTTGACTAAAACGCTCAACTAATAATCCTAACAGAGAAAGGTAAAGTGGTTGTTTTTTGCTTGAGGAAAGTCGACCTCCTACTCAGACGTTGAGTTTTTAGGCAAAAAAATGTCACCTTCGTTTTACACAAGCAATATAACTGAAAAATACATATGTCTCTAACCTGTGTGAACCGAAAACCGTCATCAAGTATATAAAAGTTACACATTGCCAAGATATTTAGATTAAAGCACGAATGAGTCTAGGTTATTGACACAAGTCTTCCACTGAGTTGAATATAGATGGTATTTCACTAACCTGTAATTATATAAAAAATGCATTATACAACTCTGACAGAATCAACTCTCTGTTCACTTTCACATCTTGGACTCTCTCTCATACTCTCAAACCTTTATAAATCAATCGCAATCCGAACTCAGTCACATAATTAATATTTTTAACTAACACAAATCTTTGAGATTTTTATTTTTTTTAGATAGGGTCTGATATAGAGTATGAGTTTTAAAAGTATGTAAGAATTACGTCGATAAGTCAATTTGTTATCATAAGGTAACATATTGTAGTTTATAATTGACTTGTGTGTGTCTCGACCAATCTCTCAATATAGACAATATACATTTCATACACAAATTCACATGTTCCAAAGATCCTCATTACTAAACAATGTTTTATTTGAGATTCGACATGCAAAACTTCGAATTTACCATAAAATTATAAAATTTTGATATTACCTTCTTCAAAAAGTAGTCTTTCAAAATTGCTATCAAATCGAAACTATGAATGTTGACTAAGAAAAATGTATAATCGCTAATTTCATGAAAATTTTGGCAATACTTTCCCTTACGAAAGTTAATTCATGTAATTTATATTCAAAAAACAAAAACAAAAAGGTAGACCTCTAAGTCAATTTTGTGTTTCCATCCTACCTAGTTACATCTTATGTATGGTTCATGCATTTGATAAACATCGTTGCGAAAACAAATCCCCAAAATTAATAAAAAACAACAAATATAACATACATATAAAAATATGTACATTATATATATCCCTTAACTTAGTTCTTTACGTAATCTGAGTCATTCTGAATTTTTTTTTTCATTGCCTTATTAATAAACATGTAGTTTGACCATATATGCATGACACATGCCTGATCCGTTAAAAACAACCAGATAAATATACAATCGAACCATCCATGTAGAGAACAAACATACTCTTTTTAAAAACATAAATAAACGAAAAGTCAAACCATCTACAGTAATCACAATTTATACCCCTCAAAATGCAAGTTGAATAAACAAGTGGTCGGACCATTTGTGTAGGACATGAGTTCAAAATGTAAGAAAATAAATTAGAATAAACATTTAGTTTGACTATCGTCATATGAGGTCGACTTTGTCATAAAATGAATAAACGCGCAGTTGGATCATCTACACATGTTCGCATGAAATAAGTTCGACCTTTCGATACACAAGAAAATTAAACATGCAGTCGGACTATCTACGAAGGAGACAAAATTAACCAAAAATAAATCAATAACTGAGCAAGTGGTTCATCCACTTAGAAAACGAGTCATGATTTTCATATATGAAGCTAAATATTCACACAATTAAACCATCAACACAGGGGACGGACCCAACGTTTGAGACAAATAGATAGGATAGCGGTTGGGTCATTTATGCAGAAGATAAGGCTAGCCCCTTCAAAATATTAAGTCAAATAAACAAGTAGTTGAACTATCCAAGGAGAGAATGAATGAAGTACTTCATAAAACAGACAAATAAACACTTCATCGGACCATTCATGCAGAGGACTAGCTCAATTTTTCAGAAAAATGGGGTAAATAAGTGATCAAACCATCTTTGTAAAATAAGTCAACTCATATAAACAAATAATCATACCCATCTATGCGAAAAATAAGTATAATTTTTTGAAAAACAATTAAATGAATATGCGATTGGGTAATTTATGTACGGGACAAGTTCGGACTTATCCATAATGCAACAATCAAAACATTCATTAAAACATTTCTCTTTCCTAACAAATATATTCTTTTACAAACATAGTTATTTTTCAGAAATAACGTAAATCTTGAATAATATGCAAAAATACATAATTGATATAAAAACAAATACTGACAACCAGATCGAAGGTTTATACAATTAAGGGAATACGAGTACAACAAGGAGTTGCTCTACCTACCACAAGTACGCTGGATAAAAAAATCCTCATGAGTTCCGACAGAGCTCCGACAACCACGTTGATAATTGGATGAACCACATAATTTATACGGTTTAACCATGATAGAATTTTATTATTCTGCATCACCTTTGGAGAAGTATGAAAAAACTATACCTTGAGAGAAAAATTGTTAATTCTAGCCCAACCATAGCAGGCCTTAAAGCCTCCGTATTTTGAGCACAACACAATAGTACCCCGTCGCTCCCATATCCTCAATAGCACGACTTTTCTTGTATTTTTTTTTCTTCTGAAATCAACTATTTCGCTCACATCCAATACATGATTTGCGTTCCGCACAGTGTCACAGCATCTCTGCACGATTATCACGACACATGTTGTTCAACCCCACTGGTCCATTGTCCGTCATTAAAAAAAAAATGGTCGGCGAGACTCGGATGAACAAGTTTAATTAAGCATAATCGCTAATAAATAAAAAATATAATTTAATGTGGGTACAAGCAACTTAAAGTGGTAATAAAATCATTGAAAAATATTTATAAATATTTAATTATAGGTTTTGACCCATTTCAATATTATTTCAACTAACATAAACTTTGTAAGCATTGT